CCGGGGGGGGAGGGGAGGCCCGGCAGCAGCGGCCTCAGCGGGGGCTTCGCGGCTCCCCCTCCCCCCCGGGGCCCCGCAGGGCCAGCTCCGCGGCCACAGGCTCCGCAACCTCCGCGCTGCCCGCCGGGCTCTGGCACTTGCTGGAGGTGATGACTGCTAGACGTCGCCGCCCGCGCCAGAACTTGCGTCTCCTCCCCCGACCCGCTGGGCGGGGTGGAAGGGGCCGAGGGCGGAGCTGCGGGCGTGGGGAGGGCTGTCTGGGATGCTCCGGTATTGCACGGCCGAGGGAGCACCGGAGTTCCTTTAGGGAAGAGGGGCTAGGCTTAATGGTCTTAGTTCTGGTTTCAGAGTTCCTCCTCTTCGTGCCTCAGTTTACCCTCTTCCCCTTACCACAAAGGGGCGTGGTAGGGAGATGACAGGGATTGTGTTTCGGAATCTCTTTCCGCTTGACCTCTTTCTCCTACTAATCCTCTTCAGGAACTAAAGTTCTCGCTTTCCCCAGAAGTACGCAGGAACCCTGCGCCATCTAGCTGTCTCTTTGTCCGTCCGCTCAGGTCGCATTCCCCACTCGGCCACAGAAACAGAAGATCAAGACGCGATGCTCTCACACTATCCCTTCATTCCGCCCGCGCGCTTCTTTACTCGGTCCCACTCAGTCTGGGAAACGGAAGATCCACACGCGTCGCGGCTGCAAACTCGGTTTCCTATTGGCCAGAGCCGCCTGAGCTGCGCCCGCCCGGCCCGCCTCGCCCTCCCACCTGGGCGGGGCCTCCCCGCTGACCCGGGGCTGCCTTGAGCAGAGCCCCACAGCCCGACTGCCGGCTCGGCAGTCTTAAAGGGGCCGCGGCCAGATCCTTCTAGACCGGCCTGTGGAGTCTCAGTGTCCGGGTTGCGGCTAGGAATGAAGACCGGAGTGGGGGTGGGGGTGCCGAGCGCTAGAGGCGGGGCTCCAGCCTGTCGCGCTCGCTGCACCTGCTGAATGTCCCTCCCACTAGTTTCGGGCGCAGTTTCTCGTCTCACCATTAGGGGGAGGGGCAGACAGAGCACTTGACAGCGACAAATAATAGCTAACATTGATTCAGTGCGCTGCACATGCCAGGCCTTTTACTCACCTCTTGCGTCGTCCTCGCCAAATCCCTATAAGGTAAGGGGTGCTGTCTTTCCCGCTTTACAGATGAGGAAACAGGAGCTTAAGACGCTCTCCCCAGTTCATGCCCAGTAAGGGGCAAAGCGGGGATTTAAAGAGATCTGGGATCCTTAACCATCGCTCTATACCCTGAAAGGGATTAATTATCCTTTAATCACCACTCTTCACCTAAGAGTCCTCGTAAGGGGATGGTGTCATTATCATTGACCTTTATCCAAAAATACAGCCGTGAGGGCACATTTGGTTCCCGCCCAAGCTCTGTCCAGACAGGTGTGCTCGAACAGGTGTGTCCTAGACAACGAGCCTCTTATAGATGGTCGCCTAGCAGATGTTATCATTCCCAGGTGTTCCTTGCAGGTGCCCTACAACATGGGGAGATACAGATGTTTTCCCATGGAGATGTACCATGTAGGTATTTTCTCACAGAAACAACCCGACAGGTTGGCCTCCATATATGTGAACTTTTGTCCTGCTGGTCCTCCACACAGATGTGCTTCAGTGTGAGTGTGCCTTATGCAAAGTTCCCAGGTCTTCCTCTCATTTCAGCTCAGTTCTATACAGGTGTTCCTCACACAGGGCAGTTTCGTTGACCTCGCAGATATGTTTCTCAACGGGTGTTCCTCCACCCACGAATGCATTATACAGTCCCCTCATAAGTGTGTTCCAGTTAAGTATACACCCATATGGATATGTTTCCATACAACTGGGTCCCATACAGGTATACTTAAATGCAGATGGGGTCTCATACAGGTATTTCCAAGTCCATTTCCACATAGGAATTCCCCCATACAAGTGTTGTGCGTTTCATAAGTGAGCCAGGCGGTTGCGTTTCCAAAACAGGTGTACTCCACGCCAGAGTGCTTCAATCAGATGTGAGTTATCATGCAGGTGTGTTCTATACAGATGTTTTCCACACAGGTATGCTTCCATTCAGCTATATTTCATATAGATGTGACTCAATGCAGATGTCTCCTGTGAGTATTCTTACACGCGAACATCCGTGCAGGTGTCTTCTATACAGGCGTTTACTCCCATACAGATGTTTGCCGAAAAGGTGTTTTTACGTGAAGAGCATTCCATCCGAGTCTGCTTAAGCAGGAGTGCTTTATACACCGGTGTCGACTTGTTCCGTGTGTCTCCACACCTGGGCGATCCTACAGACATGCCCGCTATACAGGTGTGAGGCCCTTCTTACACCTGCGCGCTTCCGCCCGTTCCCTACCCCTCCCCATTATGGAATTGGGTTCCCGTTACAGGTGCGCCCGTGGCGCGGCCCCGCCCCCTCCTGGCTCCGCCCTCTCATCTAGGCTCAGGTGCACCAGCCGGAAGTGCGCTCCCCTCCCAGGTGAGTGACTAAACTTTCCGGGTCACGTGAGCGGGCGGAGCCGGTGGGATCCGACCGACCGACCGACCGCCGGACCGAGGGTTCGAGCTGGGGACCCGGACAGGGAAACCGTGCGAGATCAAAGACGCCCGGGCCAGGTAGGGAGGCAGGACGCACGGCTTGGCCTGTTCCCCCACCCCCACCCCTTCCCTTTCCCTCTCCCCAGCCCAGGAACGCGCGCCCGGGAGTTAATCTTTAATCTCTGACCTCTGGCGGCGGGGGCGGGGCGGGACTCCGGGGTGCCCGGGTGCGCGTCGCCTCTCCCGCGGGCCAGCGCCCGGGTCCCGCCCCCCACCCCACGCC